TTTTATTAGGATTGATTTTTTAACTAATTTTGTTGATGAATATTGTTATGTATTTTTCACAGGCTGCGAAGATTCTTGCAAATTTAATTGTGATGGGTTCTGGCATATTAGCTAGGGCTTTTGTTCAAGCATACCGTCAAGCTCTTGCCAGGAATTTTTGTTTTTTAATAATAATATTATGTTTTTATTTTGAATTTTAACCTCAGCATAAGATTTATACTAAATATTGTAGTCGCTCTTTTGATTTTTTTTTAATTTTTTTTTGGGGGCTGGGAAGCTCTTTTGAAAAAAATTTGAAAAAAAAAGTGACACTTTAGGTTCCTATGGCTATGTGAAGTGTGCAAGATTAATGTGTTCTTTTAGCGATGTCAATACTTTGTATTTTCGACTTTATTTCGCTTTTATACCCTATTAGCCTCCTTATATTTCTGATTTATGTTCTGGGGTGTTGGAACATGCCTTTATTTATTCAGTGAATTGTACCATAATCTTGATTGAAAGGTTTTCATTGTGCAAGGTTGTGTTTTGTTTGTTAGTTGTTGAAAAGCTCTTTTTTTTTCCCACATGTTTTATTTCCTGTGACAAATAAGTAACTTAAAAGAGTTTAATGTTGATTAGCAGTAAGTTATTTTGTTGCGTTGCGGACATGACTACGATTGATTTGGGTGTGTCCTGTGTCCGTGCTTCCATGCTCTGTAAATTTATACTGGTATTTGTTGCAGATGCCAACAAAACCGGCGTTGCTCAAGAAACATTGCAAAATGCAATTCGCAGAGGAAGCAAGGTCATGACAGAGCAGGAAGCTAGACAGATTTTTGGCGTGACAGAGGAAACTGCTTGGGAGGATGTTCTAAAGGTTAGGTTTTCACACTTGTTTAACTCATGGAATGGACCGAGTTTAGCTTCAAATTGTAACTTGTCTTTTGTATTTCTTTACAACCTTTGTAGAAATACGACACTTTATTTGAGAGGAATTCTACGAATGGTAGCTTTTACCTTCAATCAAAGGTTCACAGGGCCAAAGAATGTTTAGAGGCTGCATGCCGGGATATAGGTCAGACTACGCCTAGTTGAGAAGCATATGAAGGCTTATTTAGCAATTTCTGTCTCTTGCCTTGTCCAATCAGTATAGCATCATCTTGGTGCCTTGAAGATGGATTTTGTCAAACAGTTTTGTTCTTCTAACACCCACCCCTTTTCTAGTCCAAGTTAAAAAGTTTGTTGGAATAATATAAGCGTTCTATGTTTTACCAAATCAGTAGTTAGAAACTGAGCTCAATTATTTATTTGTACAGTTAATGTTTCTTAATAATGGCATTGGATTTGATTACCAAAGTGCATTGTTTATTTATTTATTTCTTCATCTTTAACGGATGTTGGGAAACTGAAGTTGCGTATTGTTTTGTGCATACAAACGAGCTTTATAATAGGTTGACATAGTGTAGTCATATAGCAACTTGCTGAGTCATAACAGTGATTATTATTGTCACCAGAACGTGCGTAGTAAAAACATAAATGAGTTCAGATGGTAGAGGCTGGTAAGCATAAAGGTAATAATATGTGGTCATAGTGGTATCACCAATAATTGGCCTTCATTTGCAGCATATTAGAGACATTCAAAGACAGCTTGAAGGTTAGTGCCTCTTCTGAAAGAAAATATCAAAGTGAGATTCTTAAAAATTCTGGGATTCAAGCCGTGAGTTTATGAAAAAATGTTCTCTAGTTCAGCGCAGGTGGGGTCCACCACCTTCCGAGAGGCGGGGCTATTGCACTGTGAGGTGGCTCCAAGCTATGTATGTCCATTTGGGAATCTATTCTACATGTGCTGTGGCCAAATAAAAGCTTTTGGAAACATATAGGCCCCGTTTGGTTTTTACACTAGAACATTCTAATTATGCTACAGTGTTTTTCATCTTGCACAAAATTTGAATTCAAAAATTTCTTCTTTCACAAAGTTCTTGTCAATGAATCACTGACTCGAACACGTGAACTAAACGGACGCATAAAAACAGTTTAGAAAAACCTACGGTTGACTTAATGATGCCAGTGACAAAGGTCCTGTTTTTGAGATTAGGAAAATACCAGTGGTGGAGAGTACCGTTTGGGTAAACTTGGTTTGAGTACTTGGATTTTGGCTCTTGAAATATAATCTGAAATAGCATATTCATCATCCAATATTATGGAACAAGACAGAGACTATGAATACGATGAAAAATGATTCAAATTCAATCATTCATGTGAACTCTGTCTGGTTCTCTATCAAACCTGAAACGCCATAAAAGTCTTTACTTTGGTTTCTCTTGCAATATTACTCTCTTCTTCTTTGGGTGGTTAACTTGGTCAAATGTCATAATATTTGCAGCACTCCACCTCAAGCGAGGATGTTGACCAATTATAGCACTTGGAAGCACTTCTTAGTATTAGTTTAGTGCAAACAATACAATAGGAAGAAATGGACTTATGAAATACATGTGGGAGCAAAGTCAAATCAACAATTCCATAGACCAAAACAAGCAAAGTTCTGCTTGGATCAACTTGACACGATTTCTACAGAGGAGAAACATTTTTGTGGTAAAACCATGAATGCGGAAAAGCATAAATCGGGTTTCAACAGTCCAAAACCAATCCCATTTTAAAATTATTACATGCACATATTGGATGTTGACATGATACAACAAGGAATTTGGCTGCATATCGTGGCAAGACCCCTATCACATTTCTGCCTATTATGAACTACTGAATCACAGAAAACAATCCATCATCGTTATAGGATCATACTTACTTTAAGTTTCTACGATACTCACACAAGTATATATTTCTCTGTCAAATCTTTGACATTAACACAACTGATATTTACTTAAACCTTTATCCTAAAATTGCTTATACATGGAAGGACTCTTGCCTTACTTGTAGAACATAAATGATGTCACAAAAACCAGCTTTAAGCTGGGGATTTAACAAAATTGCCAAAATTTTTGTTATTGCCTAAATATTTTTTGTCCTACATAATTTAAATTCTTATGTAATAATAAGCAGTTTTAGTTGAAACAATATTAATTATGATGCGAAGAACTTTTTTATTTTTTTGAAGCATCCTATAAATAAGAAGTAACAATTACAGGTAACAAGAAAACATAAATGACCAAAATGAGACCAAGATGACAGCCGGATCAAAATGACTCAGCAAATAACAATAATTAAAAAAAAAAAAAAAACTTTAGATTACTTGTGTTCCCCGTTGATGGTTTCCAAAGAGTTAGAAATTAATTTAAAGAAACCAATGAGAGAATCTCTTGTAATCGATTCTCAAATAAGGCAACATTTTCCTTACTCAAAGTCAAGACTATCTCCACTCCATCACCATCTCTAGTGTCCATCAAATAAATCAAGTTCTCGTAGGTGTAACTCGGGATCGTCACAGAACTTGGCTTTCCCAAACCCAAGTCAACCTCGTAGAATCCAAAGTTGCACCAACTGCTAAACGCAATCCACTCCGCACCAACTCTTGTAAATAATTCCACTTCTCTAAACGACTCAACAACAGCTTGGAGTCCGTCGGCCTCGTCCCCTCGGAACCTCTCCGCTTTGTTTTGGGCGAAGTCTTTGAGTCCTTGCCTTAGTTTAGCCACCAAATCCTGCAGTTGACACTCCAATGCCTCAATACTAGTTTCGTTATAAATGTCATTCTCTACCTGCAATGCAGATAACCCCACGAAGTTTCCAACAGAGTTATTTGGTAGCGGTGGTTCAAGTCTTTTCCGCAGGTTCACGGCTTGCGTCATGAGAGAGTACCGTGGCTTCACCGGAGTTGCCGAGGTTGATCGTGAATTAGCCTCCACTAGGCATCTCAAAATGAGGGCGGTGACTACTTCAACCCTTGTCGGTTGCTTGACGCTGTCACTTGCAAATTTGGCCTTGAGAGCCGCAATCTTTGGTTTATCAAACAAGCATCTCTTCACGACGCCGTGCTCTGCCCTTTCGGCCACCACCGACGAGGCAGGAGGCGCGTACGAGAAGGTATCTCCAGAACGGTAGTAAGAAGCCGCTTCAAAATCTGGAATCCCATTACCAGCCCAGGTCTTCAAGAATATGCTCAGCGTGGCTGCATCGCCGACCTTGTGCGACATACAGACGCCTATTGCGACTCCGCCGCAGTCGAAGTGAGTGGCTTGAACAAGCAATAAGGGCCATGTGCCTGCTTCCGGGGATTCCATCGCGGCTGGAAGGAACCGCCCTATGAGTGCCTCGTCTTTGTGGTCTTGATCTAGAAAGCTTGAGAGGAGGCCATTGAATTTCGCTTCGACATACGTAGCTCCGTCGTCCTGGCATTCGATGACGGTGTTGTCCTTGATTTTCCCGGCAAGCGGATAGAAAAGAGTCAAGGCTTCAGACAGAGATTTCTTCAGGTGGTTAGATATTTTGTCGGACGTGAGAATGTTGTTGTTGTTGGGGTAGAAAAGAACCAAAGAGGTGTAAACTCCAACCATAATCCGATCGAGACAAGATAGGTTAAATATTTTAAGGTGAGACGGAGTTGGAGAAGATGGTTTTATGATTTCTCTTCCAATGATCTCAACCTTCAACTCCTCCGCCATATTCCTTCAAGGAAAGAAATAAACAAAAAATAACTAAAGCTTTTTCTCACTATAAGACAACATAAAGATAAAATAAACACCACACTTTCTCACACAGTCACAGTACACTTCTCTCTTATTTGTCTCTTTTCTTTTATTCTAACCAAAGGAAGAAGGCCCTATATATTTATGTATATAGGCCCCCACATGCATTAGATGGCCCCCACTTGGATTGGTCTTAGCGTGAACATCACGCTGCTAAGCTTGGCCAACAAGTTTATTAAAAAAAAAAAAAGCTTGATAAGCATATATATTTTTATTTCGTACCTCACTTTCAGGCTTAGGATGAAGACAAGTAAGTCAACAATACCAACTACTACTGCTGCTGGCTGCCAATATTGATTAAATTTCCACTCGCACGTTTTTTAAAATGGGGTGCTCGGTATTCTAGTCACCATCAAGACACAACTTGCACCTTCCTCAGAATTTTAAAGGAAAAAAATTATTGGAACAAATATGAGAGATGATGTATTGAGCACTATAATAATTAAAAAGTGTGACCTATTTTTATTAGTGTACGGTGTTAAATTTTATTGTTGCCTTTGACGTCATTGTTATGTTTAAAAAGTACAAGGACATATATAATCAGTTATATTCTTGACAGCTAAAAATGGAATGTTATTAGTAGGTCGTTTTTACGTTAAAAAAAACTTTAATCGTCAATGATGTATAACTTTAGCAGGATTGTTCCTACATTGTAATATTAACAAGTAGTAATATGTGTTTAGCGTGCCATTTATTTTGTTTGACAATGATTTGAAGAAGTACAATATTAGTGTGTGTTTTCATTTTTATTTTTATTTTTTTGTTATTATGCCATTATAAAGTTATTTTTATGTGAAATAAATATTCATTTCATCATGTACACGTCGCTTTTAAAGATGAAAAATAAAATATCCAAGAATAAAATTTTTATCGTAGGTTTTCTCAAAAAATATATTATATTGATGTAGAATTAATGCATTTTGCATGAAACTTAAACACTTCCCTTTCCTTCGCCATTACGAATGCAATTCGCATGAAACTTTCCACTTGCACGTTTTTACAATATTAATTAGCATATTTGTAATCATCATCATGACCTAGTAGCATATATAATTATATACGTAAGCTGTCACCTTCCTAATAACGATATATATGTTTTTATTTTGTACATCACTTTCCTAAGAAATTGAGTGGAAAGTTTATTATTTGAGAAATTATGGTGGGATTTTCACCCACCCACATTAAAAAGCTCAATCTTTTTTTTTTATATTTTATTTAAGAAGATTGCCAGTTGTTTAACTGAGAATTTTTTTTTTTAATCCCAATTCTGTTTCTTTATGTCTCTCACAGTCACACAAGAAGCAGCCTCCTCTGATGTAATTTCATCCAATGCTGATGTGGAGAGGGTGACCGTTGGCGCCGTTCTATTGGTATAAAACAATATAAATGTGGACGAATTATAAATTTCCTCTCGAATTATAGCCCATATAATAAAATGCCCCATAAACTCCACTTTGTAATATTCGTTCCCATCAACTTCAGATCTCTTGTAAATTTTCATGTTCTGTTAAATTTTTGACGAAAAATGACACTTCACACTCGTTTACAGTGAGAGTTATGATACTCAATATACAACTACAAAAGTACCCTTGAAAATGAATTTGGGGAGCATTGAATCATACAAACAAAGAGGAAAAAAAAAAAACCCTGCGAACCAGATAAATATCAAAACTTCACAAATCATGGCTTGCCTTGTTCAATAGAATGATCCCATTAGTGTCATCTTATTTAACCAATAAATACGGGAGCAGTTTTCAACACACACACATATATATATGGGTGTGATTTTTTATTTTTTTATTTTTTAAATAGGATATGGGTGTGGTATTAATGGTGGGAAATTTTCAGAAAGACCATCAAAGAGGTAATACTATTTTATTTCTGCCATTGTTTTAAAATTTAACTTATGCTACTAATAACTTACAAGTTATCTTTTCATAACTTACAGATTATTTTTTCATAACCTGTTAGTTATATTTCGTAACTTGCAAGTTACTTTTTTGTAACCTAAATTTTATCATTCGTAACCCACAAGTTATTTTGAGTAACCTGCAGATTCTTTTTTGTAGTGGCATCAACATTTTTTGTAATGACATAAAAATAATGGTTAAACTTAAAATTTTCTCTTTAATGGTTACTTCAATCTTAACCCATCAATGGGTATCGTTGTTTCAACAGTAATATATTGAACCAATGGTTATGATAAATTAGATAGTTGACTAAAAATTTATGACAATTAATAATTTTAGATTATTATTACACCATGTAATCAAATTTCTATATTAATGGTAACTAACAATGAAAACGTAACTATTAAAACCTCATTCATATATATATATATATATATTTATATATATATATATAGGTAAATTTTATAAGCTCTATCCCTGTGTTAAATTTTATTTTAATTATTGTGTTAAGCAAAAATTATGGATTAAAGAAGCGAATAATAAAGGAAGTAAAACAAAAGTGAATGAAAAAAATGTAAAAAAAAAGAAGAATGTATAGTTGTTAAAAAAAGAGTGAGGAAAAAATATGAGATACCAAAGAAGCTATTCGAGTATGGTGACCCGAATTCTATTTGGTCCGACTCAAAAAGCTTGCGGTGTGACATATATATAAAGAGTGAGAAAAAAAATATGAGATACCAAAGAAGCTATTCGAGTACGGTGACCCGTATTCTATTTGGTCCGACTCGAAAGCGGTGCGACATATGTCATGGAGCTTTAATTATGAAATTTTTTTGGGGTTCCGTGGTGGTAGCGGAGGGGTTGGGACCAAACACAAGCAAGAAGAAGAGAAGAAAAAAATTAAAAATGAAAAATAAAATAAATAAAAACATGACATTCGATAAAACTGGTGTCATTGAATTGACAATAAATTAAATGAAAAGGATTGAAGAAAATAAAAAAAAGAAATCCCAAATAGCAAGAAAAAGAAGTAGAAATTACGGGAAAGAAGTACTATATAGAAAAAAAGGGAAGAAACGTTTCGTCGTCAAAGGGTGAAACAGGGAGAGGCAGGTTTTAGATTTTTAAGTAGGACGCGTTGATTAACACCACATTTTTTATTTTCACAACCCCTTTTTAATGTGATTAAAATATCCATTAATATAATTACTTTTAAGGACAATAATATTTTAAGAAAATACTCATTACACACCCTGTCATTAAAAAATATATTGTCTTCTAAAATTTACTATTTCCTAATTTTTCGAAAGAATAAAGATGAATTCCAACGTGAAAGAGCCTCCCACAAAAAGGTACGTGGTTAAATTTTTTCTTAAAAATTCTTATTTTGCAATTCTATTTTTTATGGTTATATCATTAGTTCTAAAATATTCAAGATTCGTCAAAAAATTTTTGGAGAGAAAGATTCGTGAAAGAGCCGTCGGCATGTGGACTTCACTATGGTTTAATGTGGAAATTGATTTTTTTTTTCTTGCAGACGACTCCTTACTCTAGTCTGCATATTCAGTAGTTCTTGATTTTAATAGAAGCGACGATACGGGAAAGTGCAGAAGACTCCATGTAATTGTTTAACATTATGCTTCAATGCTTCAATTTTGTCGTTGGAGATTTTAATTATTTTGTCATTGGAGAAAGTCCAGAAGACTCCATTATCATGGTTTTTATAGGTTACAAGTAATTTATGTTGAAATTCGTGCTTTCATCATTTTCAATAAACGACGAAAGAGCGCATTGATGATGATGATAATAATAATAATGATGATAATAATAATAATAACTTCTTATTCTGTAGCATAATCATTTTAATCATTGTTTATTACAACAGATTACTTGTTATATATATCAGTCTTTATATTTTTGTAAGATTTTCAACTATGATATTCATTTTATATGGGAATATCATGAAATTTTGAGTTTAGTTTATTTTTTAATTTTTTTTTTCATAATTTTAATACAGATTTAACGGTTGATAAATAAAAAACACTGATGCTCTTAAAAAAGAATAAATATCAGAGAAAGTCTTTAAAAACAAAAGCTTGATAAAATTTAGAAAGTGAAACTGATATTAAAAGGACATGAAAAAAAAAAAAAACATCTAAAGACTCAAAACAATATCTTTTACCTTTTTAAAAAGAAGAATGATTTTTTTAGTTGAGGTGCGAAACGGTTCGCACGTTTTTCACCCCAGAATGAGCGACGTAATTTTTTTGCAAATGACAAAGTACATATTTCCTAAAGGCTAAACCGATTCTCAATGAACTCTTCTTCTTATATGATTTTTCACCCCAGAACTCTTCGTCTTGAGAGTCTGTCTCCACAGTTCTAACTTACGGTTAACTCCTTCTCTATGTTCCTGAACTAAAACTATATTGTCTGCAAAAAGCATACACCAAGGAACTCTATCTTAGATTTCTCTTGTCAGCTTATCCACCACGATGGTGAAAAGATAAGGACTAAGAGCAGATCCTTGATGAAGGCCGATCTGAATGGGAAACTCTGCCGTGTAGCCTTCAGTAGTTTTCACACTCGTGACCACCCCATTGTACATGTCCTTAATTACCTTGATATAGCTCACATGCACTCCTCTCTTTTCTAGCACCCACCATAAAACTTCTCTCGGCACCCTATCATATGCATTTTCTAAATCTATAAAGACCATATGTAGGTCTGTCTTTACTTCTCTGTACTTTTCCATCTGCATCCTAAGAAGAAAAATGGCTTCTGTGGTTGATCTGCCTGGAATGAAGCTAAATTGGTTACCTGAGATGGTAGTTGTGGCCCTTAATCTCCTTTCGATAACTCTCTCTCAAAGTTTCATAGTGTGGCTTATTAACTTTATGCCTCTATAATTGTTACAATTCAGCACATCTCATTTTTTCTTGAAGATGGGGACAAGAATACTTTTCCTCCATGCATCAGGCATATGCT